GACTTCATCATGAAGTCCAAAGTGTCTCCAAATACAATAGTAATTAAATTCCATTCCTCCTAAAGGGATAATCCACTTATTTGTAGAATCACTGTAGCCATATCATTTAACATTTTTTAGGACTCTTTGAATATTTGGCATATTTTATTACACATTTCCTGCATACATTTTCAGCTTCCTTAAGATGGAATAAATTCCCCTTTGGTTCATAGTCAAAGATTGATAGTAAGTGAAATGTGAATGATACTTAATTCAAACGTAGGATTGTTTTAGTTCTTTCTAGGATTTGAAGGTATTTTTTTTTTTTTTGATGCTTCAGTCCTGTTTTAGACATATTTTTTCATAGCAGAATAGTGGCTGTTTTTCAGGGAAAAAAAAAGAAAACATCTAAATAATGATATTGGGTGATCCTTTAAAATTGAGCTATCTGTAACATAACAGTAAAGAAGCAAGTGACTTTTTTTCTAAGATCTGCATTCCAGATTTCACAACTAAAACCAAATCACCATAGTCCTTTTCTCATTTGCACAGAGTCCTTGACTGTATGAGATTGTTTGCTGAGGACTAGTGAACTAGAAATCAAGATCTTTGTAATCTCTTAATTCTATCATTTAAAATGATGCCAATTTGATAGAATGGCATTCTCATTTTCCTCATTTGCTTCATTTTCTTCATTTGCAAAATTACTTTATGATAGTGGAGGGAAGCTGCATTTGAAGAATGTTTATTATGTGCTTTGAGATCATTAAAGCTGATATCACTTTGCATACCAAGTGGTAGTATTCACGTCCCTAATACACTAAGGTTCTGATATAATCAACCTTTAAAGAATAACGTATCATGACCAACAGTTTATGTATAATTCCATGATGTAACTGTGTCTGCAGTAATTACTCACTCCTCTGAAATCTTGACATGAGCATTGTCTGTGCCACTCACATTGGGACTCACATAAGCCATTTTCTATTGTTATTTATCTTTATATGCATATGTCCTATTTATGCAAACAGACTGTGAGCTTTTTGGGGGGTGGTGTATCCTTAGCTTCTAGCAATGTGCCTTGCACTTAATGGACGCTTAATCAGTCCTTGATTACTAGGGGGATATTTGGTCAGATACATTCCCTCCCGGTCTCATGAACAAAGAATTATTTGTGGAATTTATTCTGTGATAGGAAAGGTGCTAATATCAAAGAGGGAACACATATCACTCAGTTTCTCTTGTACCTTTGATAGTCTCAAATGCAGTTGAGGTCAAACAGAGTGGAAATAAGACAACAATATTCAACCATCAAATATATTTTACTGCTAAGGTATCTATCCAAGCATAAAGTTGTGCATGGATCATTGTCATATACATTTGATCACTATTTATAAAAGGTTGGTAATAACTAAATTAAGATGTCTATAGTGTTTACTCTGTGGAACCATAGTTTTAATTTGCTTTTGTGCTATCTTTATTTTTTTCCAAATTCTTCATAATAAACACAATTATTCTTATAATTAGGAAAAAATGTGAAATTCTAAAAAGTTTTTGTTTCTATTCCGGTGAACCAAATTACAGAAATTTTTAACAGTATCAATGCCATTCTATATATTATTTTTCACTTACATTAAAATCAAACACGGGAAAGACTAAATGCCAGACTGTATAGTGACAAGGACAATACTTAATTGATGTTACTGAAAAGGGCAATACTTAAATAAACATAAACACTACTCATTAAAACTCCTCATAGATGTTTAAATTAGCATAACAATACTCCATGTGTTAATTAAAGCCTGAACAACACATTTCTTCTCTCCTCATCACTTATTGGTGGAGTTTGAAGCTGCGAGATACCTGCTTCCATCTTCAGAAGAACCACAACAAGGGCACAGACCTAGATTCCTAGACTAGAGGAAAACTATTGTTGAAATAATACCCAAAAGCCTTAAAGAATGTGTCTATTCTTCCCATTGCCAAGTGGATATACTCATATGATTTACTAGGCATCCATGTGTCACCAGCAAGAGTTCAGACAGGTCCTTATTGAGTGTGAAACGTTTGAGGCAAATTTCCCCAGACAGGTAATTCAAGATATCTATTATTGACAACAGTAGCACATTTCATTAAGACTGCTTTGGTGCCAGGATAGATCGCTTCAAAATATGAGTTGGTGGCAAGGAGGGATTTCAACAGATGTTTGTCTAAAGTAGGCCACGAAGTAAGATGGAGACTAGCCATTCTTGCCTAAACCCGGTTGCTTTTTCCGTAAATTCTTTCCTCATCCACCTCACGCCAGCATCTGTTACTTAAGCAAAACATGATATAGAAAGAACACATTAGCATGGCTTACTATCAAATCCTTTGTGCCCGTTATTAGTATTACATCACTTTAGATTGTTATCAGCAATTGTTCACTCAAAAGGGTTAGTTAAAGCTAAAACAGACTTTGCTGATGTCTTTTCCCCCAAGAGTGTTGAAAATTCGATTGTTCAAACTGCAAATATGATTCAGCAAACCATTTATCCAAAAACCTTAAAGAGGTAATGTAAAATGTGGATTGAGAAACCTGCATTAAATGGGCTCGGGCAGCCAAAGACTTTGAAACTGCTTTCCTGTGAATATCTAGGATAGAGCAGAACAAAGTCAATTACTGACTGTAATTAAGAAGTGGAAGCATTTAAACTGTAGAGAGCAGTAGCAGACTTCTCCAGACTGCCTAGTAACTGGAAAGATTAGTGGGAAGACAGAGGAAAGAATGCAAACTGTATCTTTCTGATAGTATATTTTGAATGAATTGCATTCATATAGTTCTCTGATCCAGCTTCCTCAAATGAATTCATAAATCACTGATTATGTACGATTAATGCAGCAATATATTTGGATAAAGAAACTTTTAAAATACATTTTGTTTTCGGTTGTGTTGGCAGTAAAAGATCCCCTTTGCATTGCATAGCATGCACCAAAAATGCAAATGTACTGCTGAAGTACTTACATTTTATCACTGTTTGAATTTACTAGACTGAAAACTGAACTGTTAGCTCTTTCCTCAAACCCTCAGAATATAGTAAATCTAATTATGTTTGTTTCTTGTACTTTGAAATGTGTCTTTTTATAATTTTAATAATGGTTTATTTATAATGGCAGAGAAATATATTAGATAGTACACTGTGTACACTAATTCATATTTCTTTGTGTATGTTCACAAATTGTGATGTTATATAATACATTCATAATCAAAATATTTAAATTTAAATTAGGATGAAGGTAGAGGTCAAGGACATTACTGGTTTTCTTGGGTTAGTTACAAGTGACCTTATATTTCTAGATTACTATTTCTGTGGCAACACTTCATAGAATAAATATTTGGAACTTTATGTAAGTAAAGAACATTGCTAGGGTGTTCAGATAATTAGGCAAACATCAGCTTAACTGTCTTTTAATAGATACATAAAACAGAGGACTATTTGGAGGCTATTTTGAGCCATCCCAAATCTTACATGCAATTTTACTTTAAAAAAAAGAGCCATTGGCTCTGGTAGTCTGTCAAATTCTAATGTGGATAATTAAATTCCTCTTATTTTCTAATCTTTCAGTTCTCATAATTGCATATCCTTGGATAGTTCCTCTCCTTACAGTTGTAAAACATCGGAACGCATCTCACTCAAGAATGGTTGTATTGCAGCACTGAGTGATGTTGCATCTTTATATAGTTTTTCTAAAAATAAATGACAAGTGAATATATATGTATGTGTATAATCAAAGATTTCTTTAAGACTCCGAGATCATTGTCATTAAATTTTGCCATAAGAATCACTGAAACCTTCCAAGTGAGCTATTTTGGGTAATAATTGTCACTTGAATGATAGAATTATAGAGACATCCTGAAGCATGATTTGTGATTTTCTGAACCTGTGCCACATTTCAGTGTTCACCTCCAATTTAGAGCAAGTAAGGCTGAGAAGAGGTGACTAGCTCCTGATTGAGTATTTTGAAATGTCAGTCCTCTCAACCTCTGAAGCCTTGCCTGATGTGTGACAGTAGTCGGGAAATGTTCATCTTCCAGTTGAAACAAAAAGTCAATACAAAGGGAAAATCTTCACAGTTCAGATTGATGGCCTAATACAGAGAGCGTGTCCACACCCACTCTAATCAAATTCGTCTCTAAGTGGCCTTTTATGCGTGAAATCAAGAGCATTGCTCTGTTTCTATAGGGTCACACTCTTCTCTCGCAATTCTGCGGGGGGAGAAGATGCACTGTAGTGAAAAACATATAGTTACATGTTAAATATTGCCAACTACTTAATAGCTCTGAGAGTCTGAAATGGGGATGTTCACTTGATGAATACTTTCCATGAGAGGTTCAAATATGTAAATAAACTTTTATTCTAATACACTCCTTTTGTGAGGGAAATTAGTCCTTTATTACTTTCCTATAGATCTTTATGATAGGAAAGTAGAAGTAGCCAAATGTTATTCATTTGAATGACCTTTTGGAAAAGTCTGCATTAGTCTCTTTGGTAAATAATCTGTTTTACAGCCCTCCATAAAAGGAAATCAAATATAGAGATACTATTAGATTTGAAAAAGACAAACAGGAAAGAGCCAAAAGTGCAGAATGAATTCTGACACACCCGGGTACATTTTTCTGAGGTTCTGACTTAAGTGGATGCTGTCTGCATCATTCTGAACTTCCTGACTTGCTTCTTCTTGACTTGGAGTAATTCGGCTTTAGTCCTACTCTGAGTTAATCGTTCTATTATTACAACAATAATGTATTTGTTATGACATGAAAAAACAGTTTATAGAGAGCAGTTCAAAATGATCCTAGTCTCCCAGTTCCCAGAAAGACAATTACTGGAATACAAGAAAATATTTTGGTGTATTGAAGTGTGTTTTTCAAACAGTATATATATATATACACACATATATATGCAGTATATATATTTTTTTCATTTTTTAATGTAAGAGATCTATTTTATATGGTTTGCTTACCTGTCGATTTTTTTTTTCAGATCACAACAGTATCAGGAAATGAATTCCTTCTACAGTCAGATATTGACTTCATCATATTGGATTGGTTCCACGCTATCAAAAATGCAATTGACAGATTGGTATGTATTTGTTTTGGCTGTTACCTTTATTAATTAAAATGTTGTCACTTAAATTGTGTTGCTTAGGCATATAACACACACATTTAAATGGATCCTCTAGATTGAGAGATATTAAGTTATTTTAAGTTTAGATAGAGTCCACTAAAACCCGATTCAACAGACTTGATTTGTAGAGCTGAATATCATTTGATTTCTTTCTTTCAAAAAACACAGTGCATTCATTTCCCTCACTGAAATAACATGGACATTCATTTACTAGAAACTGTAAAAAGCACACAAGCACTTAATGACTACTGAGTTTTCACATTTTCAGTTTATGCAGTCTGTAATACATATTCTTGAAAATAAATATCAATGTATTTAATTAAGCCCATGCTCACTCTTATAATACCAGTAAATAATAATCCTTTGTACTGACTTTCATTATCTTTCCAGCGACACTAGATTGTTCTTCTCATGAAAATTATCAATCTAAAACTTCATAAAATTACCCTAAATCATATATTCAGAGTATATTTTTAAAGAATCAAATTATTTAAAACTACCATTGTATACTGATTCTAGACCAAACATCTAATTTTTGGACACTAATATTTGCAAAACATTGAGAAAAAAACTATCCTTGAGAGCTTTGTATAAGCTATAAAATAAAATAGGGAATGACAGCATTTTCTGTGTGACTTTATTGCTTTTAACTGCAGTCTTCCTTTATATCATTTTTGGACTAAAACCTTAAAAAATAACAAACTGACTTTTCTCCATCATCCATATAGTCCCCTCATTCAGGCATGCTTGACTGCTCACACCCACATCCACCCACCCACACACAGAGTTTGTTGTCATTAAGAGTAGACTCTGGAGTCAAACTGCCTGAGTTTGAATCCTGGTTCCATCCTTTGCTAGCTGTGTGGCCTTAGGCAGTTTACTTATCTCTTTTGGCTTCAGTTTCCTTGTCTGGAAAGTAGGGGTAATAAATGATATCTACCTCGTAGTATTACTGTGATGATTAATTGAGTTAATACATGAGCAGTGCTTGGGGTAATGCACAGTATTTAGTAAGTTTATATATATGTACATGGCTATTATTAAATTTGATTATTGAGCTTAGCATAGAGGCCCTTTTCTAAAATAATTATCTTAGTTCAATCTTCCCTTAAAATCTAACATCAAAATATATCACTAAGCTATTTGGTGAATCCTTTCTTCCTTGTAAAATTATTCAGTCTAATTGTTTATTATTTCCAGCCAAAGGATCCAAGTGGCTCATCAAGAAACCTGGAATTATTCAAAATCCAGAGATCCTCCAGTACTGAATTACTAAGTCACTACGATAATGATACAAAAGAACAGAAACCAGAACACAGAAAATCTTTAAGTAAGTTTTTTTTTTACTTCTTGCTGATTTTAACTTTGCCTAAATGCAATGCTTATGAAATATAAATGCATTGAAATAAGATTTTAGCCAAACTCATACTACTCATGGAATATTCGTAGCCATTTCCTGGCCAGGGATTCATGAACTGGAGGGCAGTCTGGGTGCTTTGCTCACATCATTGTTGGTAATGCCTTTTGAGAAAATAATTGTTCCAAGGTCAGGGTCTCTGCTTACAGCAAATCTCTGAGTCTCTGAGTAATATCCACAGTGTTCAGATTGGTGATTGATTTTAAAAGTGGGAAATGTCAAGCATCCCCAAACCTTGGTATACGGAATATTTGATTTCTATACATTAAAAGATGTGTGAGTGACCGCCACAGTTGGACCAACTTAAACCAATAGGCTATGCAACCTTGCATACTGTCAAAACACCAAAAAAATTTAGAAATGTGGGAAGTGAATTACATGATCTCCAGGGTCACATTGAGTTCTAATATTCTGAAAGAAATTAATTTGGAGTAAAAAGGGCCAATCTCATGATATAGCAATCTTGAATATACCTTTCAGCCTTGCTCATTCTGTTCCTCCTCAACGAAAGGAGATTATGAAAAGGTGTCCAACATATCTCACAGTTGGTTTGAGTTTTGGCTTCTTGAAAGGTGTCTCCAAAATCAAAGCAGGTGTCTCAGGAATCAAAGGAAACCAATTTCTCAAAGTGTCAAAAATTATAGTACTTTTCTTGAATCATCTATCTACCTAGCTATCCTCAATCTTCTGAATCACTATTTTTTCTGCCGTCTCCCTATGATCTAATATCAGAGCTAGTTACTTTCTAGCTTTTTGAATTACAGAGAACTCCATAAGTAGGGAAGGGCTTCTAACAGAATATCTACACATGTACATGACTACATGTGCTAAATGACTATATGTGTATATGCATATATTTGTGTGCATTAGGGAAGACTCTCTCTCTCTATATATATATATACACACACATATATGTATGTATATATAAACATAGATGCACTCTCACACACATACAACAAGAAAGAGAGAAGCTATTTATATATAACATATCTTCCAGAGCTAAATTATTGGGATCTTAAAATTATCTAGAAATAGCATGACAACTTTGAGTAGAAGCACCCTTTCAAAATTAAGTCATTATTCAAAAACCCATACCATAATTTCAGCAACTGCTAGAAACATATTTAGCTAGCCAGTTGTGTTAAGTTGGAGTTTAAAATGATCAATGTTAATGTCTTAAACTGTATGGTGCTTTGCAAATTAAGTTATTTGTGGAGAGTTAGCCGTGCCACTTAAAAAGATTATTCCATAAGGTGGTACAGTTTGGAGTTATCTCATTTAAATGTTTTCCTTTAATTTCTGGTCATCTGGTGAAGTATCTTTTACTGATGGCAATTACTTAATATGGGATCAAATTTAAGGTAATATTTTAGAATTAGAATTCAGTTGTGGGTATGTTAATGTATCCATGTGAACATTTTGTTGTATATATAATAGGATATATGAGGTAATGACTGGTAGAGGCTTGGAGGATACCTGGACGTGCTTCTAGAGCCTGAAGTTTGGAAGAAAATAAAGATTTGTAAAAGTATCTGAGAAACATTGAAGCAAATGGATTCTGTGTTCAGCGATAGTCACTTGAAATCTTTAGGATGATACTGGGGAGAAAATGTTTCTACAGGTAGAGTACCAGCTCCTCCTATTTAGAATTTATTTTTGATTGGGAAAGATAATTATTTGTGTATTTAGGGCTTAAATTCAATCCTGGTTGGAGACAAGGAAAGAGACATATGATTATTCTACTCATGTTCAAATGTACCTAATTCTCTAGGGACCTCATCTTTACTTTTTCCTTTGCAGTTCAAAAATAATGACAGCTAGCAACATTAAGCAGGCATTGTTCTAAATTCTTATTTATGTCGACTCACCTAATCCTCCCACCCACCCAGTGAATCAATTCTACTACTAACTTATTTTATAGATGAGAAAACTGAGGCGCAGAAAATTAAGGACATTTGTAAAAGACAAATTATGGGGACAGGTTACAAACCCATGCAGTTTGAGATTACAGCCTGTGCTCTTAGCCATTAGACTACAGTGAAGTGAACAAATAAAAGGTAAACTTTGTATCAACTTTGGACCTGGATGGAAATATTACACTAAAAATGAGATGCATAGAAATCAGTAAATTTAAATAGGGACCCAAAAACATATTAGCAAGAGAATTAAAACCAGATGTCTCTGGAGTTTGATTTCACTATTAAAATAAAGGGGTCATTTAGTTGTAATGCTAGCCCTAATTTTAGAAAATGCTTCATTTCTATATTTTGATGGATATTTATAGCTGTGAGCCCTTTTTAAGTCTTAGTAGGTTTTTATGCAATATAGGATACAGTTAATATCCATCTATTACTTTGAATTAAGCTCGTTTACTATTTAGGTATTGATTTTCCTTTGAAAGGTATAATGATTAACCCACCCACACCGTATCAAATTAGACTATGCATTTGAAATAGTGACTGGCATATTTTATATTTGATCCTTTTTAAAATACTTCTTCAAGTAGGAAATATATTGTGCAAAACCTCTCTGACCTCAGTCCTAGATTTGAACATCCAAACTTAGGTTTTTAAAACATGCATTTAGTTTTATGTTACCCTTTTGAGATTAAATAATTATGTGGAATTAGAGATTCACAGTATCTCCTTCCTTATTAGTAGTCTAAGCAGGAACTTTATTGTCAGTTTGCTGCCTTTGGCTTCCTGTGCCCTTGATGTTCCCATGAGTTTTGTCGCCAAGATTGTAGACAGATAAAGCCAGAATTACTTTTTTTAAAGGCATGTGAACATCATTAGCAGCTAACAGGTGGTCATTTCATTGTCCAGTTTCTCTGGGTAACATGGGAAAAAATATGTACTCTCAATGAGTGAATTGTGAAAGCTAAGTGCTTAAATATACTTTCCTTTTTAAAATATGATTCTAACCTGCCAACATTATTAAGGACTAATCAGATATTTTAAGATATCAGTGAGACTAACAGACAAGAAGCCAGAAAATTCAATGTAAGGGCCAAATCACTGTGGGAAATTCAGGACACCAGCATGGGATGAGAGTGGGAGAGCAGCTCTCCAGGGAGGGTTGTTAATGGAAAGTGGAGAGTCAATCAAAGAAAATGCTAGCATATTTTTCCAAGGAAAGAGAAGTATCTTTCACTGATGGCAAAAAGGAAAGGCTCAAATATAAACTCTGCATCAGATAACCTTGGAGAGGTTTTTTAACTTTTCTGAGCTTTACTTTGTAGATCTATAAAAATGGGTCTAATACTGTCCTTGCAGGATAGCATGAGAATTTGAAATTAGATATGTAAATACTTAGCTCACAGCGGCACTCAATGAGCAGGAGCTCTTATTATTATCCTCTGTGTCCCCAAGCAGATGGTATCAAAATAGGACGTGAGCCTAGGGTAGTGTCTAATGGAAGAATGGAACAGAGCAAATATATTTGACATCCTCTCCCCAAGTATAGAGAAAATAGGTGGAAAGAGTTTGAATTGGATATGGGAGTCATAGCTACAAAAATCTAAATATGAGCAGCTGGTCTTTCTCCTGGCGACTCCCCAGGTGAAAATGGCAGCCAGGGCATTCTTGGGAGCAGCACACCAGGAAATAGTAGAAGGGAGCCAAGAGATACTCATGATTCTTCTATGCCTAGAAGAGCTGGTCATGAAGAAGTTCCAGTTGATGGAAGGGATTCAGCTCGTAGCCATTTGATTATTCCTTTAGGCATAGCTCTAGTTTATTCATTAACTCATGTATTCATTCTTCTGCATTAATCGATATACCTGAAGGTACACAAGTAAAATTCATGAGTTCACTCATTTGCACTTACTATGTTTTAAAATTATTTTTGTATTTGGGTTATGCTTTAGAAGTGATATACTGCATGCTGATCAAACGCTAAACTGTAAAATCCATAAGTGGAGACCTTGGATAATTTTTATATAAAATTGACACATTTGGCATTATAAACAAACACCCCAAAATGAACATGAACTAGAAGAATAAAATCAAAAGGTAAGAGAACTGAAAGAAAATGAGTTTTCTTTTAGCTGTCTTATGATGTTTTCATAAAAAAAGAAATGTGGGTGAAATACTGAAAGTATTCAGATATGGCTTTCCCAGTTGCATCTTCCCTTAATGATGTGTGTAGGGGGGGTGTATGTACCAGGCTCCAGGGGTAAAGAAAGGAATGGAAAAATTGGAATGAGATATTCATACAATATAGAAAATGAAAATACTTCTGAACCTTTAATAATATCTTTGTTTAAAAATTTGTCTGCAAAGTAATCATGATTATGCCAAGTGAAAACAAGTCTGTTAGAGAAGGCAGTTAGTTTTTTGTACTAATCTAAATAATTATAACACTGGTCATCCACAACTGTAAGTAGACTATGTTCTCAAAATCCAATTGTAAACTGGATGCTTAGCTCTTAGCACACTTTCATAAGGAAACCACGGACAAGCCACAAAAGCACACTTGGACCTTATGCAATCATTTAGAATGTTGTTTTTAGGGAACAGCTTGTTCTGAGTTTGTTGCACCTCTGGCCCTAAGAGCTAAGACTTTCCAGTAGCATTGCTTTCCATCTGGTTTCTCTTTTCCCCCTCCGCTACTCCTGTACCAACTCCACCAAAGCAATTAGAATGACCCACCAGAATGGCTTTGGCCAGGAGGTTCCTGGACCCTGAAAATCCTCAGTGGTGTCAAAGAGGGAATGCAGAGCCTCCAAAGCCAGAAGCAAAGAGTGGGAAAAAGGGAGAACGAAGGACTGGGAAAGATTTTTGCAGCATGGGCAGGGAAGTGAGTCCTTGGCAGGGGCAGATGTTCTTTGTATGAAATGTGTGTAATGACAGATTAAGTCTGGTATTTTCCCAAATGTTCATATTTGATGAATCTAGGTGGTGTCTTTAGGA